AGGGAGGGAGGGAGGGAGGGAGGGAGGGAGGATGGAAGGATGGGTAAATAGCGCCTTTGTCTGCACCCGTGGCTCTATGGGCTTCGCTTGAAGCCTGTCCCCTCCACATTCACAATCTGAGAAGTAGAGGCCTTTTCCCTTCATTCCAGCTGGGGCCCTTGTGTGGTCCACATCCGTGTATGGAACAGATTCGATCTTTATCTGAACTTTTACCCTTCAGGTGCATTGAGAATTATACGGGAGCTCGTTGTGAAGAGGTTTTTCTCCCCAGTGCCAGCAGCCAAAGCAAAAGTAACCTGTCGGCAGCTTTCGTGGCCCTGGTGATCCTCGTCACGCTCACCCTCGCAGCGCTCTGCTTTCTGTGCAGGTAACTGAAGGGGAAGAGACCCTCACAGAGAAGAAAGTAATGGGCAGCAGCCTCCAAGTAACCAGCACACTCTTTACTTCTAGATGTTTCTCCAGATACTGCTTTATGCTGGCATTCTCTCTCTAGCACAATTTTGTTATAAACCAATGAGTCATTTTAAAAGCATCTTAAGCAACTCAACCTGTTGCCTGTCACCGATGTCATCATTTGCCATGGTGGCTCTAAGCTAGGTGAACCCACACTCGCTACAGAAATCATCTTTATGTCACACATCCAAGATTACTTGCATTGATTCCTTTTTTATTGCTCTTCAATGTTTTTGAATTTTTTTTAAAAAGTGACTATGAAATTAAGTTTAGTAGTTATTTTGTATTAACTAATAAGTATGAAACATGCATTGGTTACTCTCATATGGTTATGAAAATGGGGTTGATGATGGTCATCATAAGACAATCCAAGGTGGCTTGAGAAGTTAATATTCCAAGAATAACATGTAGATAAAATAATATTTCATAAACCTTGGTTAAAATTTGGAGGGTCTTTGGCTCTTTTAAAATGTGCATAATTATGTGTTTTATTTCAAAGTATCATTTAAGCAACCCAGTAGATCTTATCTAATTGTTGCATCTGAGTACTTGAGATACAAAAGCTTACGGGCCCATCGCATCAGATTGTGTTTACCATGTGATCTGCTGCTCCTATGTCCCCTTCCCCAGTGTGACTTTGCCGCTCAACCAGCAAGAGTTAGACTTTAAGGCTGGGGCTGTGTAGTTCAGTGATAGTGTGCTCGTCTGGCAGGCATGAGGTTCTAGATTCAAGCCATTGAATTGTGATAAGAAACAGTTTATTTCTCTAGACAGGCACCGTATGATTGCTCCAGTCATGGGTATCGGGTAAATGATACAGTTAAGAACACAGCCTTTAAATGGGCTAAAAGCTCCCTCTTAGAATTGTAGCTTGAGTTTTCCTGCCTGACCCACAGTCAGGACAAATCTCTGTCACCCGCCAGTCTCACAGCTGCTCAGACCCAACCAAGTAAACACAGAGACTTATATTGTTTCAACTGTTTGGCCTAATGGCTCAGGCTTCTAGCTATCTAGTTCTTACATCTCAAATTAATCCATTTCTATAAATCTATACCTTGCCACATGGCTCATGGCTTACCGGTATCTTCACATGCTGCTTGTCATGGCAGTGGCTGGCAGTGTCTCTCTCTGTCTTCCTGTTCTCTCAATTCTCCTCTCTGTTAGTCCATCCTATACTTGCTGCCTGGCCACTGGCCAATCAGTGTTTTATTTATTGACCAATCAGAGCAATTTGACATACAGACCATCCCACAGCATAGAATTATCCAGAATCTTATAAGAAAGATTAAAGAGCCATAGCTGGACTCCCAGCAGCAACTGCTAGCCATCTGAATGAGGCTCCCTAGACGTCCTACTTGTTGGAACTTTTAGTTGTGTTATCTACTGGTTGCCTGAAATCATACAGAGTCCTCCAGATCGGGGAGAGGGGAGGACTCAGTGGTCAACCAGTAGAAAGCATGAGAGAGAAATTTCTAATCTACTGAGTTTAGAGTAGCATGTTACAAAGTATCAAATGAGTCAGCTTGGGAATTTACCCCTGAATAATGATCTATTCTTATTTTATCCCTCTACGTATGCTTTCCAGCAAAATACACCAAGAGATCAGCTTGACTGATTCTAATTTCTCATTATTCTCTCTAGTGTTGACTTGGAAATAGATTTTCATCTTCTATTGATTGGTTGTTGAGCTACTTTGTATAATAAGACCTCTAGCTTTGACTGTAGTAACTATCAATTAACTCACTGTTGCTTGAATTTGTTCTTAAAATTTCGTATATTAGAAACAAGTTCCCAAAGTCCTCTCTTAATGGTGTTTGAAATGTTGGATCTTTGGGTGACGGGGTCTCAGCAGAATGAAGGAATGAGCCCTTTAATGCATAATAGAAAATGGAGGGTTTCTCATCGGAAGCTATTAAAGTGAGCTCTGTCTGTCTTGCTGGTCCTGTCTCACAGTGTGGTACCCAGTGCCATGCCATGACCCAGTTAAGACAGGCCTTACCAGATGCTGAACAGTTGTCAATGCTGTAGTCTTAGACATCTCAGCATCTGGATCCATAAGTTAAATGAACATCTGTTCTTTGTAAATTACTCAGTGGTATAGCAACAGAAAAAGATTGATGCAACCGTAACAGTTTAATGGCTTAAAAAGAAAGGCTTTCTAATTCATAGTGTATAATCATTCTGTGTTATCACACGGATTGGAGATGGTCATGCTAAACACGGTCATGAGGACTCACACTACAGAGCAGCTGCCACAAATGCTGTTGGTTGCATTGCCAGAGGGAAGGAAAGTTCCAGAGTGCCTCACACTCAAAATGATCTGTCCCAGAAGTGACACAGACACTCTGACAGAATCCCTCTCACAGGCCTATGCAATTACAAAAAGTGTTAGTAAATGTAGCTCACCCATATGCTGCAAGGTAGAAAGCCAGAAGCAGGTCTCACATAGTGACTAAAGAATTCATAAGGGAATCTAATATTCCACTGGGACTTGCTAAGAGTGACTTGTGTATTTTTTTAATACATAGAACTTTGATATTGCTACAGCTGTTGCAACTGGATTCCTTTACTGATCTTTGAATTTGTATATTATATCCCAAATGTACTGCATGCCATTGAGCCACAAGTTTTCATAAAAGGGCAAAGCACAGTTGCAGACTGGAGGCAGAATTCAGGAATATTCTGATGTAAAGCTAGATGTAGTGGCTTATGTTTGTAATTTCAGCTCTTGAAAGTCAGAGGCAGGAGGATGGCTGTGAGTTCAAGGCCAGCCTGAGTTATATAGTGAGTTTCAGGTCAGGCTTGTTTATAGAGTGAGACCCTGGCACAAAAAGAGGAAAATTCTAATCTGAAGTACCCTATATCATGCTAAATGATAACTTTTGGCCCAGGCATAGTGGCTAACACCTATAATCCTAACACTTGAGAGGTTGATGCAGGAGGTTTGCTGTGAGTTCCAGGCAAGCCTGGATACCAGGGGAAACCCCATCTCAAAAAGAAGTCCCAGAGCCTTCTCTTTAGGGTAGGAAGTATAGGCATGTAGGTATGAGAACGAAAGATTATATAAGAAAGTTTGGTAGTCATTGAAAAAGAAACCTCTAAAGCCAGGGGAGGCAACACATGCCAGTGGTCCAAGGCTAGCCTCTACCACTTAGGGAGACCCTGCCTCAAAACACAAAGAAAAAAAGAAAAGGGAGAAACCTCTAATCACAAATGTTAAATGGGTTTTCATTCTGAGCCCATGGTATTTCTAGTGTCTAGTGAGGGAAAGGTTAAGTGTATAAAGCAGTCTAGACGGTAAATATTCTCAACTGATTGACAGAAACAAGTGCAAATCAGCTCTTGAAGAAGCCACTGTCATTCTTTACCTTAAAGGGCACCTCACAGTATAAGACTACTCACTGACATGGGAGAGAGGCACCGCTAATTAGAACAAATCTTGGGAAAACTGGATAATGATCTCTTCTGATTCTGAGCACATTTTCCAGCATAATGTGCTGGGGGGTGGGCAAGCTGATTAATTCCCTTATTAGTCACTGTACTGATGATTTGGAAATAGAATTTTCATTTGATAGTGATTGGCTATTGAGCTGCTGTGTGTAATATTAGCCCTGACGATCTAGATTTGGCTGCAGTAACTATGAGTTTGCTATGGATTAAATGTATTCTCCAAATTTCATGTTACCACTAAGAGCAAAATCAGATATTCAAAATATTCTTTTGTGGGAGAATCAAACCCATGATATAAAAGTTATGTTTAATATGTATGAAAAAGAAATGGAAGCTGGAGAGATGGTTAAGAGCTGGAGAGGAGTTAAGAGCTGGAGAGTGGTTAAGAGCTGGAGAGAGGTTAAGAGTACTTGTTGCTCTTACAGAAGGCCTGGGTTCAGTTCTCAGCACCCACATGTTGGCTCACAACCATCTATATCTCTAGTTCCAGGGGATCTGACCCCTCTTCTGGACTCCTTGGGCACCAGCATGCAAGTAGTGCATATACATACATGCAGGCAAAATACTCATACACAAAAATATAAATCTAAAATTAAAAAACAAACGACAGGTTTACAAAAGAGCAGATTTCGCAAAGGCCAATACAGAAGTTGAAAAAAATAAAATTAACATTAAAAAATTCAATATATTTAGTTCAATGTTAAGTTTAGTTTGTGTTTTTAAGCAGATTAGAAACAGTAAGGGGAAGGATGAAGGAAATGGGGAGAGAGGTGAATGAATGAAAACGTACCCCAAACCTAAGGAACAAAAGAACTGTAAAATATTAAGGAAAAATCAAGAAACACGGCAAACAAAGCGACTGCATCTAACTCTTTTACTTTTCTGGAGTTTGAGAGAGAAAAAAAGACTTGAGACAGAGGCTGTGTTTGAAGAGGATAATAGCTGAGATGTTCAGAATTTGTAAGTTACTCACAGACTCCGCAAATGTCAAGCAGATTAAAGAAAAGCACATGTGCATAGCACAGCCTCATAAAGCACGGAATCCCGATTCTAAAGCGAAAATGCTAGCGTAAAGACAGCAGGTCTTCAAAGGCCCAGCCTGCGAGCTGAGCACTCAGGAGGCACAGGGCGGATGCAAGGCCGTGGTGATGTTGGCAGTGTGCTGAGAGAAGTGGCTGGCTGCCCCGACCTCGGGGGGTGGGGAGGTGGTGAAAATATCTTCAAGATTGAGGGAGAAATGAAGATAACTGTAGATGTATAGACCGTAGAGTTATTTTGCAGTGAGCCTTCCGTCCAAGGGCCAGAGGAGAGCTGACTCTCCAGGGTGTGTGTGAGATGAAAGAAGGAAAAATAAAGAAACGGTGTATAGGTTTCAACAACAAAGATGTCGCGCCTCTGTGTTTTTAAGAGTCAACAATATATGCAGCCAAGAATGACCTTGGCTGCGTGTTTTCCTCACCTCCACCTCCCAGATGCTGTGATGGAGGTGTGTGCTACCACCCCCGGCTGAGTGCTGCTGCTTACACTGTCCATAAGCATTGTTTTTCACCCTTTCTAATATATGTTTTATTTTATGGTTTTCTTGCGAGTCATAAAAGCTAGACAATGGAAACCTGAACATTTAGAAAATAGATATAAATTTAATTTAAAAAATACCTTTTTTTTTTGGTTTTTGAGACAGGGTTTCTCTATGTAGCTTTGTGCCTTTCCTGGAACTCGCTTTGTAGACCAGGCCGGCCTTGAATTCACAGAGATCCGCCTGCCTCCCGAGAGCTGGGATTAAAGTCGTGCGCCACCACTGCCCAGCAGCATTTGTTTTATAAAATAACATTTCAAAATAATTTTCACTGAAACGTGCTTGAAATCACATATTTTCTTTTTGTATGTGTCCGTGTGTGTGCACATGTGTGTGCAAGCGAGAGAACAATACCAGCTGTCGTTATCCAACTGTTGTCTACCTTGCTTGGCCTGGAACTCACTAAGTGGGCTCAGCTGCCTGGCCTACGGCCCCAGAGATCTGCCTGTCTTTGCCTCTCCAGTGCTCGAATAGCCAGGGCACAGTGCCACACACAACCTTTAAAGATGCAGGTTCTGGGGCTGAGATTCAGGGCCTCTTCATGCTCACAAGGCAAGCTCCTTGCAATGACCTGTCTCCTCAGCTCTTTTTCCAGTTTTAATGACAGCTTGACAGAGGGAACCCTAACCCCACAGGCAGAATCAGTCTGATCATTATTGCTCGTGAGCTCTAGACACGGGCTTGGTGCTGTCCTCTACTGACTTTGTGCAGTGTTTCTGGGCTTAAAATGTTCTTTAAAGAGTGAAAGTAAAGCCAGGCATGGTAGTGCATCCCTGTGACCCTAGCTCTTGGGAGGGTGGCGGTGCATCCCTGTGACCCCAGCACTTGGGAGGGTGGTGGTGCATCCCTGTGACCCCAGCACTTGGGAGGGTGGTGGTGCATCCCTGTGACCCCAG